CTAGACCCTCCTCCTACCCTCAATTAGGGCCTAAGTACCCACTATTAGGGACCATATATCCCCAATTAAGGGTACAAGGAGGGTCCTGGAACAGAGAGGCTTGAGCAGTCTCTGCAAGCGGCTTGAGGGCTCGAGACAAGCATCAGTATAGTCATGGCTCTGACTGGCCATCCCACATAATCCATGGCTAACCTGGTTTCTAAGTTCTTTCGATGAAAATCACGAAAACAAAATCCGAACCAAAATCCAAATTCGGGATTTAGCAATGCGATCGCCGCAAGTGATGCGGGAAAGCTAAACAGCACGCGACCCGTGCTGGCACCCTTATTTGCAGACAACTCACATGATCCAGAGCTAACGTAGCTTCCAAGGCTTTTCGCTGAAAATCACGAAACAAAATCCGAACGAAAATTCAAATCTGCGAGTCTCAAACGCCATCACAGCAAGTCATGCGGGAAAGCCAAGCAGCACACGGCCACTTTTTAGAATGGCTATGGCAAAAGCAAGAGAGCAGCACTTGCCCAAGCCATTCGGCGACCACAATTTTCTGAGATGATCATCCCGAGCAATCGCGATGGCCACCTCTCTTACGATCTACAGCTGCTCTCAAGATCCTTGGTAACTCCTGTCTCCACCTCTGCTATCACCATAGCTCCCATCATGCTTACAACTAGAGACTATAGTGATACCACTTGAGTACTGTTGACCCTTGCGCCACCGTAACTACCCTAAACGCCGGGAAATGCAGTGGCTGAAGACCCCGGAGACGCAAGATTTCACATGAGCTATTGTCTAAAATCCTAGTATCCCCCTTAGTACCCCAATAATACTCCCTATAGAATCCCCTATATAACTCCCCTATACGCAGTTTAGACTATAGCTCACATAGAATCTCGTGTCTTTGGGGCCCATTTAGACCAACCCTTGGAAGTCTTCTGCTGGCTCAACTTTCGGAAGTCCAGGTGAGCCGTGGCCAAAAACCTTTGAACCTTCGGTTCTCGTATCAATCACTATCGCGGAACCAAACGTTTTACTGAAGCGGTCCCAGCGGCAGCACATCGCGAGCTCTTGCTGTTCTTTTGCACTGATGCGAGCGAGCTATCGCCAATGAGATATGAATGAAAACCGCAGGCTTTACTGACGCGCGCACAGTTTTTACAGATGGCACGCCTTGCCAGCTTCGCGCCGAGGCTTTTTACTAAAGCCGAGATCGCGAGCTATCGCGGACAATGTGCCTGCAAGATGCTGACGCGCACTGACGTGCTCACCAGTTTTGCAACATCCAGCATCGATATGAGAACCCTCTTATAAGACTCCTTCGTAGGGGTTTTGGCCGCCGCTCAGGTGTTGGACCCTTGATCCTAAACGTTTTGCCTGAAACTTAGGCCAAAGACCAAACCTCAGTTTAGTACGGTTATATTATATGAGGGGTTCAAAAAATTCAGTACCTTTTGGGGGTTGCAGCTATAAGAAGGATCATAATCTTGGATGTCTATATGGGCTCCCCAATTTTTTTGAAACTACCCAATAAGGTTACATGGGAATCAGAAAATCTGGGACAACTGAGCTTGCTGCTTTTCGCAAGCCTGCCAGGCTCAGGCGATGCTTAGACTTCCCTACACCGGCCACGCTCATAAGCATTTATAAGCTATGGGCCCCAGAGAAGGACCCCAACAAGGGAGCAACAATGTTGAAACTATCTCATATAGTAGAATACTGCTACATAGCCTAACGACTGCCCAAACTACCATTGTAATCTAGGCGCTTGAGAAATTGGAATCAGTCCTCGTAGTATGATGTTACAACACAATTACATTACAAATGTTCTAAGGAAACTTATGAGGTATAGTCTAAACGCCTAGTATCCCCTTGGTAACCCCTATAGTACTCCCCTACATAATCCCGTATATAACCCACTTATATCAGTTTAGACTATAGCTGTAATTGCTAGCTTCCCAGGCGGGTAGGCAGCGTGCCAGGTACGAAAGGTAAGGAGACAAACCCCTGAAACGCGCCCAGGATTCTTTCCCAGAGGGTCCAAATACCCAATAATTAGGTACTTGGGTTTTGGGTAATAGTAGTTATAGTACAGGTTTTGAGTAAGTATGTGATTATTAGGTACTTGGACCCTTAGGGTTTCGTAAACCAAGAGCCCAGGCACCCGAGTTTGGGATTCCAGGTTTAGGGTTTGGGTTGTTAGGATTGAGGGTATAGGATCCCACCGAACCTGAACTTGTAGAATACCAGGGGTCCATTTTTGATGGTTGTGCTTTTGCGAAGCTATGCTGCAGTGGCCGGAACAAATTCGAACTGTTTTGGTGGATACGTTGGTACCCATGCTTATTGTCTTGAAGTCATGTATATATTCTCAAATACCGCAATTCCTGGATAGGAGCCCAACCCAAACCCTAAACGCTAGGCCCCATAACTTCTACATTACTTGGAAACCCAAACCCCTAAACCCTAAACCCCTAAAACCCTAAAGCCCTAAACCCCTAAACCCCTAAAACCCTGAAAGCCTAAAACCCGATGTCTGCAGCCTGCCGGCAGTCACCGACCACCTCATTGGTTCTGTCCGGTGCCTCACAGCGGGCAAATGAGACAGAAAAGTTCCTGGGTTTAGGGTTTGGGGTTTAGGGCTTAGGGTTTAGGGTTTAGGGGTTTAGGGTCAGCAGGGATGTAGTAAGAGAAGTAGCTACATGGCAGCACAACATTGTGCAGAAAGAAGTGGAGGCAGAGATAGAGAAGGAAAATGAGGATCCTTGATGTGTTCCTTACTCCATTCCCTACCCTAAACCCTAAACCCTACATCCTAAGCCCTAAATCCTAAGCCCCTGAACCCTAAACCCTAAATAGTAGTCTCCATTTTATTTTCCATTATCCCAATATAAACTCTACTCAACATACGCCACCTACCTAGGCCATGACCGCGGCCAACATTCCAATCTGACCATCTCAACTGTCTTAGGCTCCTCAAAGATCTACACCCTAAATCTGTCTCAAATCTAACACCCTAAACCTAGGCTTAGGATTTAGGGCTCCGGGTTTGGGGTTTGAAGCATCGGCCTTTGAGGATGTCCAATCCCAAAGCCCTGCACCCAACTTGAAAGACCCAGAAAAAATGGAACACAAGAAAGCCCTGCGGTTGTCTTTCTAGGACCCTTTTTGGGGTTCCACGTTAATTACTTTGTGGAGGCCAAAATCCTAAACCCAACACAACCTGTACTCCCAGATCTCTAGAACACCAATCCAAAAACCTTGAACGAACACTAAGCCCTCAACAATTCCCAGCATCCTAACCCTAAGCTTTAAACCCGGCACTCCCAAATCCCTAAAGCACGAATCCATCAACCTTAGACAACCCCTAGGTCGCTACCTGAATCATTGCTGCAAAATTCCTAGTGTCCCCCTGAATCACCCCCATTATACTCCCCAATGTAGTACCCTATATGACCCCCTGTAAGGAATTTAGACCCTAAACCCTAAACCGTAAACCCTTAACCCTGTAAAACCTCCCTTTGAGGAGTTTAGAGTAAACCCTAAACCCTAAACCCTACAGTATGCCTACTTAAACCTTCGCCGAGCCTTGGCTTCCATGCCGCCGTCCGTCCGAATGTGCTCGGGCACGGGCTCGGGTCAGCAGACTCAGAGCCGAAAATCCCGCGGTTGCGGAAGGTTTAGGGTTTACGGCTTAGGCCTTAGGGTTTAAGGTTTAGGGTTATAGGTTTATATAGGGTTTCTGGGGTATATAGGGCGATAGAGGCTATATAGGGATAGTGGACAAAAACTGGAAGCTACTATTTAGGGTTTAGGATTTCTTGAACGGCTCTGGAACCCTCCCCTGTTTTAAAAGCTGCTTACTGGAGGCTATAATAAGCAAAACCAACAAGATCAGTACACCTTTGAGGAATCCCGCTGTACTGCATTGTCGGGTGTGATACTACAACCACCAGCTCATATCACATCGTACCACGCTACGAGTAGGATGCTTAGCTGCCAACTACACTGTTGTTCAACATGTTCCTTGTTGCCTACTGCTATATCTGATGACCGCCTGTGAGTGTGCAGGCAACAGCTGAAACAACATTCCACCCATTATCTTGCGTGCTTCGTTCTCTGCCAGGATACGAGGATGTGAAGGTACAAGCAAGATAATCTTAACTTTAGACATCTCCGAATCGATCTGGAAGTCGGCTGGACCTGCGCGACACGCTGCTCCAAGAGCGCCACACGCTTCTCTACCTGCCGAGCGAAACCAGGATTCAGTGCTTTTGATCCAGACTTTCGGGGGCCTCCGATCTTGCAAACTGCGCTGTGCAAACTGCGCTGCTTTGCGTCGTTGGGGCGAGGATGCTAGCACAAGGATGTACAACTTAAACTTAAGAGACAACTGTACAGTCTCGAACTGCACCATCAGGAGAGCAGGCATCATTGAACAAGGGCTAGAATCCAAGCGCTTTTGCTGATGCGATCCCAACCTGTTTTAGTGTTTCTCAGCGTTGTCGTCCCAACATGTAACCTCAAACGCTCGCACCGAATCTATTGCATGATGCCTTCAACCAGACTAGTTCCTCTCAGAAAACAATGCGGCACGTGCCAAAATCATGGCACGCATACACCCTGCATGTCTGCAACCTGAAAACAACGACTTCGGCACATTGCGGGTTAGCGGTGGTCATCCCATTTGCACGGCCCAGGTGGATGTAGGACCGCAGTTTCCATTGTAAAGCCCTAAACTCCCATTTAGAAACGAGAACTATCCGAAGTCTTAGCATGCTGGCTTTTATGCAGCTGTCACTTGTGGAAGTGGCCTCTGAGGGCGCGCAGTGAGCATAAGACTTCCTCGGTCGTAGGGTTCAGTGCTGGGGCTTAGGGTTCAGGAGTAGGTTTTGGGCTTTGGATGTGGAACTTCAGCGGGTTTAGTGTGTATGGCTTGGATTTATGGATCATTGCGGGGTTTCAGCAACTCACGACCTGCTAATGCAAAGGGATCCTTGTCAACCCTGCGAGTAGGTTGCCTAGCGCCAGAATTTAGAGCTCAGAATAAACTACCATCCGATACCCGTTTTGAACGTGGCAGACCACCAACATGCTGAGTTGTTTCAAAGCAAAACAGAAACCACCCAAAGAGGGACCTAGACACTCCCATATGCAGTAAGCTCTGGATCAGTTGCTATCTGCTGCCGGGAAGCTCCAACTGTAGCAAGTCTCCGAGTGCATTGGTCCGTCTGGACGGCACGTCCTGGATCGAATGAAGGAATGAACAAAACTACAATCAATGTACTTCGTATAGAGAACATGCTTTACAATACTTCCTTTCAAAACCCAGGACAGCATACTTTGCGGACCCACCAGGCTCGTCACAATGCCGCTATGATGTTGGCACAGGGTAAGCACAACCTCGGTTGCTCTAAAATAATCTATTTGAAGTTACAACTTTATGGATAGAAAGCAAACAATATGGCTTTCTGATAGAAATAAGAGCTCCATAACACCGTATGAAACTCCTGTGCAGGCGCAACTTCCGTTTCATGTTCCATGTTCTTTTCCGCTCGAGCCCACAAAATCTCTAAACCCTACTTGGTAGTTTCCCAAAATGGGGGGACCCCAAGAATACTATAGTCAGTATTGTAAGGACCTGCAAAAGGGTACGCGTAATTTGGGAAAACACTAAACCCTAAACCCTTTATCCCCATATAACCCCTGTATAACCCTGATATTCCCTTTACAGGTATCCCTGATTTTGGGAAACCCGAAACCCTATCCTTAAAATGAGCAACCCAGGAGTAACGCATGGCCTGCAAGCTTTCCAGGAATTTGGCAGCGCGCGTCCCGCGGCTCCTTGAACTGGGCTGCTGTTAAGCTTTGAAAGTCCCACTGTGTTATACTATACTATACTATACTGGGAAGATTATAAAGTCCCTCTGCGGTAAACTATACTATACTATACTATATTGGGAACACTCTTTGTAAGGGGAGCGTTATGTTTTAAGGGATTTGGCGCAAGGTATTGGGACGGGGCTTAAGGTTAAGGCCACGAGAAAAAGCGCGATTCCCTGTGATGAACACCAGTCTTTACCTAGGTCAACAATATTCGAAAGTGCAGGTATATGATGTACAGAGCTCCTCGCGTGGTGCCTAGGAAGCTTCCTCAGCTTATAATGGAGAAACACATGAAAACGGTAAATGAACTTGAGTTTCGGGTAATTTTGGGGTTACAGGGATAAGCATACATGTGTAGATATATATGTATATATCGATCTATGCAACTCATATATAATTGCATACCTAGCTTGTCAAGTTGTTTCTCAGCAGCTCAAAAGGATTGAGACCGGCACACTGGCTCATCAAGGATGTCGCTCGCGCGCGCCAGGCACTGGGCGGCGAAGGAAGCTTAGGTTTTCGGGTTTGGGGTAACTTAGCGGTCTCAACATCATACTACGTAGGTCAGAAGGACTTCGCAAGCATACTGCTAGCCCCTACACGCCGTATACAAACCCCAGTTATCCTTGTTGTTAAATCCTTTACAAGTGCCCTGACACTCGAATTAGGTCTGCAAGCGTTGGAGGGAAAAATATTACAGTTAAAATAATATGAATAATAACGGTACTAATAAAAATAACAACACCAACAGTAATAATAACAACAATAATAATCGCAACAAAATTAATACTAACACGGGGATTGGGAGATGCTTCTGAAGCACCTGGGAGTCTTTCATCTTGTTGCGGCCGGGCGGGACCCTGCTGAATTGAAGCCCCTTACAGGTGGGTAATGTAGACCCATGATTAACGAACCCCCTCCTTTTAAGGGCCTTAATGTTAGGATCCCTATTACAATCCCTATTACGGGGAGGGGGGTTACTTCGAGGGTAGTAGGTTAATTACCCTCATAACCTATATAGTAACCCTAGTTCTCCCCATTATACCTACTTACCAAGTCCTCCTGACCCTCAACCCTCAACCCTAAACCCTAAGCTACTTACTAAGTCCCCCTGACCTTCCAAGTATTAATAAGGGATCTACATTGATGTGGAAGAGACAGTCCAACGCTTATTTTGGCAACTCAGAGCCTCGTCCTAATTACAGGCTCAGGGTTCAGGGCTTAGGGTTTAGGGCTTAGGGTTCAGGGTTTAGAAGGTCCAACCCTGAAACCCCTATAAACCCTGCACCCCACTGCCTGTGCGAAACACCTCGAACTCAAAGCTTTTGCTAAGTCCCATGATGTGAACCATTGTCTAAACTCCTAGTATCCCCCTTAATAACCCCCATAATACTCCCCTATATAATCCCCTACATAACCCTCATTCAGGAGTTTAGACCATACCTCATGTGTCTTTGTTTCCTGAGACCTTGAAACCCCCAGAGCTTCAACCCCATAGCTTCAAGGCCATTACTTGGAGGGTGAGGGGGAGGGATTAGGGTTTAGGGTTTAGGGTTTAGGGCTTAGTAAGTAGCTGAATAACCCCAATAACCCAGACAGTAAGCCTAATTATCTCTATTCTTAACTTACCTACGAAGTCCCCATGACCCTCCGAGTAGTAGCCAGAGATTCAGCTGCACAAATAGCCAGCCGCAAACACAGAAGCCTTGAAAGCATACCTAGACCTCCCCAAATACCAATGAGATTACCCTTTAGCCTAACAATACCGGATATACAGGCAAATATTCTGGGCAATTAAGCCCTAAACCCTAAACTCTAAACCCTAAATCCTAAACCCTAAACCCATGTGACCTTTGAGACAAGGTGTCGGACCTGGATTTGCAGCTGTTTGCTGCAGGTGCTGACAAACTGATCAGCCACCTCCTGAGGGTGGTGCACTTGACTTACTGGAGGTGGGTAGGGAATAACAAGGGAATATATGATACAGGCAGCATATAGGGATTTTATTCCCTTATTCGTTACTATCAATAGTAAGTTGCTGTTCTTTCTGAGGTAGTGACTGTCCTTTGGGCTTCCCCCAAATTAGGGGTCTCTTTTTAGGTGTCCTTATAACAAGGATGCTAGTCTTCTGGGGTACAAAGGGGCCCCAGTCTTGAAAGATGGCCACGGCAACCATGATGCTCAGGAACGGTGCAGCTCTCAACGCTGAACCCCAAACCAACTAGTATGAAATCCCAGACAGCCCTCCTGCACAAGGAGTTAGTGTGCCTAGGCCTCTTTTGGGGGTTCCATGTTAGTTTCTACTGGGTTCCTTTTAAGGAACTTAAATTAAGCTACCATACTAAGGGTATGTAGTAGATACTAGGGTATCCTTATTATGGCCGTGGAGACATTGCAGCAGCTTGCTGTACCTGCCTACTACAAATTCTTGCCTTGCCAAAACACCAAGCCCACCGACATGAAGAAACCCTAGGGTTCGGCGTCTAGGGTCCAAAGGGAACAGGTTTAAGGAAGAGGGACTAAGGGAAAATCAAATGGAAAAGGCTCTAGGGTTTAGGGAGTACGGTTTGGGGTTGAGGGTGTCATTTAAGGATACGAGGTTTAACCTCAACACTGGGCCAGTTGTTTGGGCAAAATCCATGTTCGCTGGCATGGACCAAACCAGGCCTGCTGACAAGCAGTCCGTGTATCGTGATCCCTTACCAAAAAGCAGAGCCTGCCCAACATACAGTCCCCCTTAAGTAGATAGAATATGAAATTGGCCAATACCATAATCAGATTCCCATATACCCTATATTCTATCTACTTAAAGGGGGGTTATCACCCCGAAACCTAAACCGCGCTTGTGCAGCTGGAGCATTGCACAGAGATGGTTCAAAACCAAGCATCTTCTTCAGTCCACAAAGAAGAAACTTATGAGTACTTCGCCGGCATGATCAAGGCCCATATGAGCTATATAGTCTAAACTCCTAAAATGGGATTGGATAGGGGGAATATATACGGGACTACTATAAGGCTTTATTAAGGGGCATACTAAGAGTTTAGACTATAGCTCATATGCTGTATTGTGACATGTCCAGCCGGTCTATTGGTCCCTCACATGGATAGTTTTCAGAATTTGCCTCCCGTTCGTTAGCCCCACGTGCTAGGTGCCGTACTCAACACCGGTACCCCAAACCCTCAATACCCTAAACCCTAAACCCCAAACCCTAAACCCTAAACCCAGTATTCGTTGCATTGTTGAGAAGCTTCGACCCACCATTCCTAAGCCTCATCCCTACAACTTGGGTCATTCCCCCTCCCAGTAAGTTTGCTCAAAGGGGCCTTATTAAGGGGGTTTAGGGTTTAGGGTTACTCCTATAACCCCTTGCGGTAAGGGTGAATAACCCAACCTACAAACTTGCCCGCAGGGTCCTTGTGTCTGAGCTGGCACGTAAGTTGGGTTCGAAGTACCCATATGGAACCTCTGTCAGGTCAGGCCATAAACCCTAAACCCTAAAACGCTTAGACCCATAGGGTAAGCTCTGGTAATCTATATACGGCTACACTCGCAGCCCTGGGAATTCCCCAGGTCAGGGAAGGCAGCATAGGTCTCCTCGTCGTTGTAGGGATGTATTTTGGAAGCTACTTCAGAGAAGAAACATTCCAGACTATGCAAACCATATTGGGAGAACTATGATTGGAAAGTGCAAAGATGTCATTCAACCACTCATTTTCTGCCATAAACCTTAAACCCTAACTCTAAACCCTGAACCCTAAACCCTAAACCTCAGATTCAGAAGCCCCGGCCCTGATCCTTGGACCCGAAGCATTCGGCCTTTGTAGACTGGGTAGGCCCCTGGGATATTGAATATTTTCCCGAATGGCTTTAATAAGGGACCCTATATACAAATATTTTTCAAAGGGTTTTGGGCGCCAACCCAGTAGAATGCCTCAGGTCTCCGGCCGCTCTCTCACTTCGCGTCCTGCCGGCTCCGTGTTGTTCACGGCTATGCGTCCGTGAGTTTAGGGATTGGGCTTAGGGTTTAGAGTGTTCGTTGTTCTGGGAATTGGGAATGAGGGGTTTACAAAGACCCCTTGATTTACTTCATGTTTGAGACATTCCAAGAGACCCTTTGCTACGCGACGGTGCGGCTTGACGGACCAGGCTCTATGGGTCACAACCTCAATGCTATACTGCAGAGGCTTATTTCAGTAGAATAAGGTTCAGGTGTGTGAGGATTGCAAGGAAGATTCTTGACAAGTAGGGGTTCTATTTGTTTTGTGGAGAGTATGGAATGGAGTTTAGGGTTCACTGTCGGGGGTTGACCATGTAATCAAAGCTGCGTGGGCCCAATTTGATGAGTCCGATAGCCTTTCGTTGAAGGCTGCGAAAAGCGCTGAAGGCTTCTCCACTTATCCTTCCTCGCATTTTTTGTGTTTGCTTAGCTTCACCTGGGCGAATGTCAAGATATGTGCCTTTCAGGATACGCGGCTTCCAAACCGCCCAAACCCATCAAGGTTTTGACCACCGTCCTAACTCCCACGGCAGGCCTTATCGGATCGGTGCGGAGGACCGTAAGGACGTCATTGCGGAACGCAAGCTCGGCAAAGGACTCAGGCTAAGTTTGGACATTAGGATTGGAGAGCCTGTCTCAGTACAATTATCACCTACCACGACGAACAGCAACAGCTGCTCTAGCTGTTGCTGCCGCTACTCGTACTGCTCCTCCTCCTCCTCCTCCTCCTCCTATTCCTCCTCTTACCCTTACTCCTACTCACGATCCTGCTCCTCCGCCTGTTCTGCTCTTGCTTCTACTCCTGCTTGCTTACTGCTATTGCTCCATTTACTGATGTCATTACGACTAGCACTACTACTGTTTTAGCTACTCCTGGCTGTCTTCTTCTAGTACTAGGACTCGGACCACACAGCACCATACCTTGATAGGTCAAAACACAACACATGAATAGTATTTTACTTGGGGATACTATGGTACCAACTTTTGTAAGATTATCTCTTCCTTTTTGGGTGTATAGTATTTGATATAAGGAATATTATCTTGCTTTTTCAACCACCAAAAAAACACTACGTACTCACATGGCAGATTCCCAAAATTTAGCCAACGGGGTCCGATAATTTGGAGACAAACCCACATACCTGTCCAGGTAGAGTCTTTACGCCTGCACTAACGGTTTTCCAGCAATTTCTGAATATCCGAGACTCCTGCAGATGCACCCCGCACAGTAGGATGCTCCCCGACCTTATCCCTGGCCCTAGACCTTGAACACCAATCGGCAAACCTTAATGAATCTCTACGAGCGTAACTCCTGAATGTCAAGCCCTGACCCGAGGTCTCTGCAAGTATCTCGACCATGTCTTGAAGCGCACCGAGGCTCCAGCATACGACTCAGTGCGCGTCTTCAAACAGGGCGAGAGTCCCCGATGCCTACAACTTAGTCGTCTGAGCCCTTATACTTGTGAGATGTATAAAGGTTGAGGGCATCACCCCTGAT